TTGACTATTTTGTCGAAATCTGTCATTGGAAAAACGACGGAGCGTAGATACATCATCCACCTGCCCACCAACTTTGCCGCATCGAATGCAAAGCCTGCACCGCTCATCTTCGCTCTTCATGGGCAATTACAACCAGCATGGTCCATGGAATCGGTGACGCAGCTTTCGCAGCCAGAGTTCAATAAGGATCATGTTGTTGTATATCCACTAGGACTAGATGTTCAAGACCCAGGCGTAAGCATATCCTATGCCGTCTACAAAAACAGACACTAATGGTCTACAGATCCAATGGCTCTCAGACCCCGCCGCCCCACCTTCATCCGTCCTCGACGACCGCATCTTCATCTTCGAACTCCTCACCCATCTCACTTCCACGATCTGCATTGACGAATCTCGCGTCTATGCCACTGGCGTATCCAATGGTGGCGGCCTCTCTGCTCTTCTTGCATGCGATCCCATCCTAAACAAGAAATTCGCGGCTTTCGCTCTGGTCGCAGCGGCGACGTATCCGGATTCCAGTCTCACGGAGCCTTTGTTCGAAGCAGGATGCAATCCAAGCTTGTCTGGTGGGAGGAAAATTCCAATCTTGGAATTCCATGGCACAAGTGATGCAGTCGTCGCTTATGACGGCAACAATGGCGATACGCCGGCATCAATTCCTATTCCGACATTTGTGGACTCGTGGGTCGAACGGAATGGATGCCAGGGTACGACTCCCGTGACTGCGTCTTTTGAGGAAGGGAAAGTGGTGGAGAAGAGGTGGAGTTGTGGAGGCAAGAAAGATGTGGTTGTGCATCGGGCGATTGAGGGATTTGGGCATGGATGGCCAAGTCGAGCGAGCCAAGCAGCTGTGTTGGAGCAGTTGAGAATAAGGAGGACGGAGTGGGATGCGACGAGTGTGATTCTGGAATGGTTTGCGGGGTGGAAATTGTGAAGATGAGTGGGTAAGAAGATTGATGTGATGGGCACTGAGGCACAAGAAAACGGGATGCAACAGAAAGATCTGTCATGTCAATCCTGGTAGTATGATCTTGCCACAAGACGGATAAAACTATCTCAATACAAGCCATGGTGGCAATTGGCTCATAATAAACTATACACCTCCATTCTATCTTCCATACATCCAACTTCCCCCTAACTCACCTCCTTCCTCACCTTATCCTCCTTGCTCGGAAACACCTTACTGCTCAAATCCAGCACCGGCAGAGGACACGGGATCCCAACCGCCTCGCACGCCGTCAGCAGCGCAAGATACCAGCCCGCCAGCAATCCCAAGAATCCGAACCCGCCCGCAATTCGCAGCAGTTTCTCGATATGCGCGAGATCGGCGGCGGTGGTGGCGCTCCCGACGCTGAAATCCGCGGCCGCGATGAACGAGAAGAGCATCACGAGCCCGAAGAATGTAAGAGTGAAGAAGAGATTGACGCGCATTGTGCCGAGGAGGAATATAAATGAAGCGATTGCCCTGGGGTGTTTGTATTAGCATAAATACAGCGTGTGCGGTCAAGGTAAAGTGGGGAATGGAAAGAGCCAGGGAAAGGACGTACATTGACACGTTGTGAAACCCCTGACTAGAATTGTACGCTGCTCCGTTCGCACCACCGAGTTCGGCGAAGGGCGCGGTGGTGTTGTGAATTGGGTCCTGCGTATATGCCAGACTGCCCCAGTGGGAGCCGTAGATGAGGAATACGGCCATTGGGAAGGCTGAGAGTTGTTAGTGGTAATTCGGTTTATACTGTTGTTCGATGTGATGGAGGGATGTTTGGGAGTGAGAGGCTGATTGTGTGAGGATGAGAAGGAGAGGATGAATGGCAGAGGAGGTAAGGCAACATACTGTTTCCGAGAATGAATTCAGCAATTCCAGCGAGATTCATGGCAATACATCCAAAGAAATAGTAGTCTCCGCTCAAGCCAACGAGACTTGCTGGCGCGACTGCGCCTTGGAAACCGCACAGGATGAGAATGGTGGATGTGTAGGGGATGAGGAAACCGATGAGACCAAGCAGAGTTGGATTAGCTGCGTATATGGTCAGTACTCATGTCAAGTGTGAATTGCTGATCGGAGTAACGTACCGAACCGCTTCGCAAGATCACCCCGCCGCGGCGCCGAAGGCTGAAAGAACAGACGCTCGTATTGCTCTGAACTCAACGCAACAGTGACTTGTCGAGATAATGCGGCTCCATTGCTATTGGCGATGTTGAGGCCATTGTGCTCGGTCATCTCATGGTCGATTTTATGCGTTTCGGACATGATTGCGACGGTTCTAAGACGTTGGATGACGTTCTTAGAAAGCTGTAGAAAGATATCGTGAGACCAAGGGACGAGAAAAAACAACGAAGCGCGCAACTCAACACAAGTGGGCTTTGCGCCTTTTATCCACTCCGAAATTCAACTCCCACTAAGTAGTACGCACACACTACTACAGCGCTTCGGCACGCAAATCAATCTCTTAACTCCATGTTCAGTCTAAGTTTCACCGTACCCCTACCACATCATCGTCGTCATATGTACTGGTGCCTCGGTATTTCCCCGATTTTCGAGACTCTTTACCCCGGGCCCCAGGTTTCTCCGCACTTGGAACACATTTTGTGTGGGACTGCACGCGAAATGACATGTTGATCTATTGGTGTTTTGGTACGCTAGACCACGTGCGGCTCTGTAGTGGCGTCGGAGGTCAAGCTTTGTCAAGCATTGCGCGGCTGACATTCCGCGGAGGCTAGCATAAATCGGGAAGGTGAGTAGACGGAAGAATGATGAGGTGGCGTTTTTAAATGGGAAAATGGGAGAAGGGGCCGAGGACTGAAGAAAGGAAGATAGAACTAGTGTAGATATTGGGAGTGGTTTGGGAAGTGGTAATCGATAAGGAGGAGCCTGCAGTAGGAGTCGGGAAAACCTCACGAACTCGACTTCATGATGTTTTTGCCATCCCCATCAAGGCTTCCATGCTAATGGAATGGAACCTACCGAGGTATTCTCAAATGGTCTCTATTGTTGTTGGTTCAGGATGAAGATATGCATCATCGTTAGCCATCTTTCCAACGCTCCACCTTTGGAATTGCCGAATTATTGGCAATGGCAGTTCTACAGCCTGCCGCTCAGGCCAGGTTAAACTTACAGCGCGTGCTCACGCCATGATCACAGCTGTGGGAACCATGGGTCATTAGCTTCTCGTGCACCGGAATTATTTTGCACACATCGCCCGAGACTTGGTGCTGGCGATTACTCAGGTTTCGTTGTCGATGAGCATGCTGGGGCACCAATGCAAGTTCGGTACCGGCATCAAGATGCCCCCTTGGCTCCATCACGATGTTCCCTCGTTCGCGAAACACTTGATCTGATTGCGTCAATACTCGCGACCAATATCAGGAAAGTTTCGATGCATCTAGTATTGCATGTCGGATCCCCATATGATTTGGTCCTTGATGTCCGCTTTTGCTCTGAAGTAGATGAAATATACATTGATCTTCGCCAAACCTTGGAAGTTTGCAGGATGAGCTGGGGTCTGCAAGCATTTAAGCTAACATCCTTCAGACAACTCTAGTCGATTCGTGATCCTTGTGCTCCTCAGAATCTGCTACAATGACCTCCTTCCTGATGCGAAACTTGTCTTTGAGAGATCACTCTTGTGTCATGAAGTGCACGAAAACACTCGGACCAGATTGATCAGCGTAACCATTGAGGGCGAGCGAATTCAGGCGTAAGTACGTGCCAGTTATCTCCGCCCGTAGCTGTTGGCAAGCAAGTTCTCGCAGATTCGAGTGATGCGTGAATGGACCATCTACGACGAAAGAATGGCCATGGAGACCTTCGGAGAGTAGAGACCACAGAGCGTCCTTGACCGGCCCGGCATCGCTAGTGAGCCTGGATTCATGTATAATGCCATGTGTACTGTCAAACAATGATGCATCCACGACTAGCCAACGAGTACTTGCCCTCAATTCTCGAGGGAGGTTTAGACGCTAACAATATCCATCGACTAACGGAATATATCAGTCCCGTGCGTTGTGCGGCATATCTTGAAGTTTCGCGAAGCCTGTTGGAGTGGTCGTCTATATTCCGATAATTATCTTCTTTCTCTAGACAGAGCGGACAAGAAGAGCGCTTACTTGATAGTGGGTCAGAAACTTGAGTCGTCGAGGAGTTGATTGCCACAGCTGAGCCGGAGTCAGGAGATAGAACCAGGAGAAGGGTGGAAGGGCGTGATGACCAGGAAAAATAAGGGAAAGGTGGAAATGAGAGAAATGGGTAAGGTAGAATTATCTCGCGATGCCGACCCAAACATAGACCCACAATTGCAGCGCGGCACGAATAGGTATGGTACATGAGAAGAATGCAAGGTCGTTCTGAACATGCTTGCTGGCTACCGTGCTGGCTGGATCCTAACGCTCAACCCAATGTAGACTCGGATCACAGCACGGACATGGCAACCAGAGATTCTATGAATCGACTTGTTGAAAACAGAACTTTGAAGACAGGCCAAGGGTTCCATTGATCGGGCAGTGAGAAAGAGTGCAGCGGCCAGAAGAGATCGAAATGGCATTGGCGGTAGTATAATATACGCCAAATGTTTTCTCGTTATCATAACCCACGGTTGTATAAATGCGAATGAGGAATTGCAACCTCTTTAGGCGCTCACTTCGACAAGTGTGCCAGCCGTCGATAGTTACAGAAGCGATCAGGAAGCAACATATTTCAGCAGGCGATTCAGATAGCCAGATAATTATCTTCTGGAATACGCCCTGATGTGTCTGTTGGCAATATCGTCTCTCGCTTCAAGTGGCAATGTGCGTCTAAGGCTCCGTCCGCCACGGCCTAAATTGACTCACCGCCAAAAGGACCCACAGCAAAATTTTCTCGCCGGGACCACGTTGTTTTTACGGAGGTCAGACAGCCGGATATTCGATTTCGAACGTGATGCTTTACGCATACACTCATTATGTAGAATCCAATCTGAGAAGTTTCCATCAAACCACCAATCATGAGTGCAGTGGTCCGACCATCTCGAATAGTATAGTGGTCAGTATTTCGGCTTGTCAATAGACAATTCGCCGGAGGCCGGGGTTCGATTCCCCGTTCGAGAGATACAACGGGCGTTTCTTTTTGCCCATGCGTGGTCTTGTAGTCTGGCCATCGTGCGAGACTTCGGCCCTAGACGCGAGGATGGTAATGTCCTGAGCCTACTGATCACTTGCTCTTCTCCTGATTACAACGCATGAGACTGCTGCTTGCACTCTAGTCGATCGAGAACGCAATAGTCCGTTCGATTGTCTTAGAGCCCGCGTCGTATACAGATGCCCATGGTGGCCATTTTTATCGTCGTGGTAGCAGTGATGCGCGAGGGGTAACAGTGGTAAACTGCAACTGTTCCACATACGATAGCTATTCTCATTGATACTGGACTGTAAAGACAGCCATTACGATTCCAAAGACCGTCCCTCGACGAAAATTGATGGCAATGTGATTGGAATGAGTTGTGGTGTTGCGGTCATGACCAGCCGCCGAGTCCCAGCTCAAGGTTCTCCACGCGACCCCGCCCAACGCTAGCTTGAGGCTCCGGCTAAATGGCGCCGAAACCATGCCATCGGTCCTACCTACACTCGCACATACATGGTCAATTTGTGCATTATCGTCTGGCTGGCACCAATACGGCGAATGCATGTCGTCGACTTTGACTACATTAATAGGATGTGAGGCCTTCATTGAACCGCTTCGCGCACGCGTCCGCGTCGACGAAGGAGTACCACTCCACAACTACTGCCCCTCATGTAACCGCGGTAGAACAACTGCGAGCTTCACAACTGCCGAACGTCACGTTCAAGGCGAGTTATCCTTAGCTCAAAATGTGTAAGCCCGATCTTGAAGTGATAAAGCCTCAGAGTAGCCTTGTTTCTACCACAGGTCCGTGTGCGCGCTGTTTGTTGACCATGGCGTTAGAATCTATCCTTCAGCTGCCAGCCTACGCATGGCTCTCCTTCATACTTGCTATCCCCACTATCGCACTGCTTCGCGATGTCTGGCTATGGCTTCGAATGCCGCCAGGCCCAACGCCGCTTCCATTTCTCGGCAATAAATTCCAGCTCCCCAAGACGAAACCGTGGATTCAGTTCCAAGAATGGTCGAAGACATACGGTCCCATCTTCACGATATGGATCGGCCGAAAGCCCACCATCGTCATATCTGATCCAAACATCGCCGTCGAGTTGATGGAGAAGCGATCGACAAAATACTCCTCGAGACCCCGCATGGTCGCGATGGGCGAGATACTGTGGGACGGAGCGAGCATCCTAGTACAGCCATACGGAAAGGAGTGGAGCATAAGGAGAAAGCTTTTGCACCAAGCCCTGACACCAAAAGCGTTGCGCCTGTACAAACCTGTGCAGACGGCTGAGGCCTCGCGCCTCTGCTACCAACTCCTGGAGAACCCAGCAAACTGGGAGAAACTGCTGGAGCGCTACACCTCGAGCATTGTATTCTCAGTCGCGTATGGACACCGCATCGATTCTCTGAATGCGGATGTCATACACCAGCGCTTCAAGTTCATGCACACGGCTGCATCGCTCAATGTGCCTGGCAAATATCTGGTTGAATCATTCCCAGTCCTGAAGCATGTCCCTGATGTTCTGGCTCCGTGGAAGGCTGAGATCAAAGCCTATGGTCGAGAGGAGGCCGCGGCAAACATGGCTCTGGTCGATCTCGTGCGCAATGACATGGCCAGAGCGAAGACGCGAGGGAACGACATACCCGACTCTTTATGCAAGCTCCTCTTGGAAATGAAAGAGACAGAGCACATACCTCTGTCCGACCGCAACTTTTCCTACATACCTGCTTCGCTGTTTGGTGCAGGCTCTGACACAACTGCCTCAACGCTCTGCACGGCGTTCCTTGCGCTCGTCACACACCCTGATGCTCTTCGCGCAGCGCACCAAGAACTCGATGCTGTCATCGGATCGTCGCGCACTCCAACCTTTGAAGACGAGAAAGACCTGCCCTATCTCCGCGCACTCGTAAAAGAAGTGCTTCGCTGGCGTCCTGTTGCTGTACTAGGAGGAACGCCTCATGCGTCCACGGAAGATGATCGTTACGAGGGCTACCACATTCCTGCCGGTACAACTGTCCTTGGCAACTCCTGGGCCATTAATTTGAACGAAGAATACTACCCTAATCCACATCGCTTCGATCCAATTCGCTTTCTCGACAGCGCGCTAGCGGAGAAGTCGAAAGCTCCAACTCCATTGACTGGCAAGGCACATCCAGCCAAGGCAGGACATTCGTCGTTCGGCTGGGGCAGGCGCATTTGTCCTGGAGCGGGGCTTGCTGAGAACAGCTTGTTTATTGCGTTGGCCAAGATTCTGTGGTCGTTTGATATTCTCCCTGTTCAAGGTGTGGAGTACGATACTTTTGCATATACTGAGGGCTTCAACATCCGGCCGCAAAAGTTTGTGTGTGAGATCAAGGTTAGGAGTGAAGAGCATCGACGCGTTCTTGCGGAGGACTTGAAACATGCCAAGGGTGTGCTTGAAAGATTTACTCCTTTTGAAGAGTAATCAACGATTCAGATTAGCTGAAGTGTAATCTTAACCAATGCCTGACGGCTGATGTTTCAAAGGTGCACTACTGATTACTAGAATTACACTGTGCATGAAACGTAGTAATTACTTTGCCTCCTCTACTTTGAAAACGGTGCAACTATCGCGGCCGACGCGTCGGCCAGAGTGATGAGATTATCACCTTCCTCTCTCAGCTTCGTGTTTGCAGTCAACATTCGAAGCATAAGTAGGTACTTTCTGCCCTTCGGGCTAGTGCTGACAAAGACTGCTCTCCTTGTCATCAAAGTGCTATATCCTCCGTGTAATGCAATTGGTTGGCGCGACAGCTGATGATCCTGATTCGTGAACACTGGCTGTATCGATTACTGCAATTGGAATGAGGTCGATGTTTTGCTTCAAAATGGTTCTGCTTTTGGGGCCAGGCGTCTGACGTGCATGCGCGTCGAACTATACTGACTTGAATCCTCGTGATAGGGCGTCAGCATCAAGATAAAGGTCATATAGCAGCCATGACAAGCCAACTGGCCGAGTGCGGTTTGTGATTTCACTCAAGAGGCAGAAGCGCAACAGCCTGTTCACAGCTTCCATCGGCTCCGCATTCCAGGATACATCGAGAAGCAGCAGCGGACAGGAAAGGGGCGATCCAACCACTGGTTCTAGCTGTTCGAAGTGTCGTCTACAGAGTGCCAGTTTGCTTTACCAGCAAGTTTCAGGAACCGTGTTCCCTCGTACAGGAAAACACAATGGCCTCAAATACCAATACCAAAACTCCAAACCCGAAGAATCCCTCGTCCCTCAAGCCCCGATATGAGATTCGCAAACTCGAACATGAGCATATACCATGGATAATCGCTATCATGTGCCACAGCAATGGCTACCACTCTCCAGTCTGGCCCGTGCTCTACCCCGAAGATATGACCGCACGTGTCCACGACATATTTGACGCGGGCGATTACCTCGTCCGGCACCAGGTCGACAGCGGGCTATCATTTGGTGTTTTTGATACGGAATATCAATACAAGACCGAAGAAGCGAAGAAAGCTGGCGGCAAACTATTTTGGGATCGCAACGAGCCCAGTATCCAGGAGAAAGAAGGCTTGGAAGCTGAAGCCGATAGATTGTTGAAGCAGCTGGACTTCCCTCTTGTCAGTATCGCAATGAGTTACGATGCCAACAACCCGTTGGATATGGGGAAGATGGGCCCATTGATGGTTACTTTGCCTGCGTTTGGTCCCATTTACCATGTCCTAGGAGGTCTGGATCAGCGCGATCCAGCCTCATGGCAGCCGACTGGCCCAAATCAGGTCCTCTTCCGCAACGCTACAGCCACGCGACACGACTACGAGGGCGAGGGCATCATGGGTGGCCTTGCGAGATGGCTGATGCGTGAGGCTGCCGAGAGGGGCTATCGTGGTATTCAGATCGAGTGCTTAGCAGATCCAGTTACGCACATTTGGAGCAAGGGAGCTACGCAGGATGGGAAGTTTAAGGGAACAGTCGTGAGCTCCTTTGATATGGGAACGTGGAAGGATGAAGAGGGAAAGTTGTTGTTCGAACCAAGTAAGCAACAGGCATCAAAGTGTTACGTTGATTTGAAGGCGAGGGTGTAGAAATATCTAAATTGACCTAAATTGACCAAACACCATTGTGCGATGAGCTCTGCATGAGTGCATTGGGTCCACTGTGCGAATGCGAATTTGCTTTCGATGAACATCATGCGTGTGTAAAGCTGAAGGTGTTGCTGCGGCTAGAAATGCTATGAAAAGCGAATTTCCTGTTGTGCATTTTTGCTTTGATGCAGTGTCGCAATAAGCGCATGCCGACGAAAAGTAAAGCGCATAAGGATTGGATCGGGGGCGTAAGTGGGCCAAGCCGCCGTTCTGATGACGCTCAGTCAGACGGGCCGGCATTTCACCGAAGGCTAGCGTGACGTAAAACGGGCGTGTTTGCCAACCACACCACTGACATCTGATGTTCTGTCTCCACTGTGCCCACTTGTTGAGTATCAGACAAATCATGCTTCGCCTCATCCCAGCTCCGGAGGCATAGCCGCGGTCCTTTGTGCGAATCCGCAATGCCTGACGTGTGCGGATGCTGTCGGCTCTGCGACTATTAATAGCCGGAAAGATCTACATCACCCTTGCACCGAGGATTTTGGTGCGATGATGCTGAGCACTGCCTCTGCATGGCAAATGGTAAAGCAACGGTCACTCCCAAGTGTATTGGCTGAGCCCCAACGAGATCGCCTGTGCTCCATCAGGCACTCGACTATTCCGGATTTGTCCGTGGCTCAGCAGTTGAGTATGGCAAAAGGTGGGCAGGTGTCGTAAGCCTTAACTAAACCAGGGATCCAAGAGGATGATGGAAACCTGTCATGCAGCTATTTTCGTTGTGACCCTGCTGTGAACTCTTCTCCTCTCTCATACACTGTCAGCCTCACATTCGTTTATACACACTGGCTATAACCCCATAACATTTATCTAGCTTCCGTCGTCGTCATAACTAAGCGTCCAGAGACATTTTTATGTCATCAT